ATACTACACGATTGCTTCATTTGAATTTAAGATATTCTAGTAGAATGTGCATGTAATCAGTGATGAGCAAACTTATATGTGTAGTTAATATTTAATTCATTGACTATCAAAGTAAGCTGTGTTTCTTCTCATTAAGATTTTTTGTTTTAAAATTGTCTGGTACTTTATATCCCAAAAATGAATGCTTCCTCAATTCATATCGCCTGCGCTTCTGGTTTCTCACTACTCATGATATTATTATTATTATTATTTCTACTACTCTGATATTCAAATTGATAATTTTTGTGTCGATATAGTGTAGGAACTTGGACTGACGTACATATATACCAAGCTCTATGTTAGTTATAGTTAACTGACTGAGTGCAAATGTATAACCTGACACATAAAGCATAATCAAAAATATATTTATATAAATATAAACTATACCCGATAAATAAGCCTCATTATATGAAATGAATTTTTAGAGTTTTTTTTCCAAACTAGAAATTAGTCATTCAGTTGTAATAAAGTCAACTCACTAACCAATCAAGGATTACTTTGTTCAACATTCTAATTTCTGAGATATTCTGTTTAACCTTTGAAGTCTTAATGTAAACAATTTACTTTAGTGTTATCCATATAATTCTATATTTTTCATCATTATAATTATAAGTAATGCATACGAATCAGTTAGATTGTAAAGTATCGGAATGGAATTTGACAGATTACTCAATCAATATTCACATTAATAATTTATGATTATTACCTTTCTGAATGACATAATAACTTCCATACTCTGTATAATAATAAGTGTATTATCAGGATTTCAATTTATAAGTGGCTACAAATCATGTCTTGTTTGAGAAAAAAACAACCTAAGATACTACAAAATTATTAATCTTATAAATTTGCAGAACTGAAACTGATGAAATATTTAAAATTGAAACAAAATTTATGATGATATCACATTGTCTCAGTTGAATGATCCAATCACGAGCCTTGCATTATCATTCCAGATAACATCAATAATAAACAGCTATCAAAATTACTCAACAATGAATATATCGATAATGCAGCAATTCGGATGACTCTCCCACGTTGTACGAGCATTCCGTGTACCTAAATTAATGGTTGCACTGGTTTTCAGAAGGGGCATCAGCCTCGTGACTTCCGAGGAAACTCGGCTTTCACCATGAGGCGTCATAACTCTTCTAAATGAAGACTTTCTGGTTCCCAAAACAGAGTTCAAATGGTTTCAATTATTTTTTCTGGTTAGCATTTTTTTCTCGTGCCAGTTTTCTACGGGATAGGGTCGCTAACCACATGCCCTCCTCCTTTATCCGGACTCGGGACCGGCAGTAGCCCAAGAAGGGCTCCAGCCTGAGTTATATCGATTATAAAAGTAACATTTTATGTATTAATTAATAAAACTTCATTATTGACAAAACAATCTGTTACTCATTTATAAAGAGAAATGTTGATTATATTATCCAGAAATACAATAGAAGCACCATACATAAATCAACTAACCAATTTATAAAACACAAAATAATCAACATTATAAGTTGTCATAATTATTCGTTTTATTTAATTATTAAGGATATTCCATTAACATATTGATTGTCAAGTATCAATATTCTAATCTAATTCATTTTACTCCTCCTTACTGATATAAACCCTATCTGTTTAAATGTTTAACGTTTAATGATAGAAAAAAAGGTATTTTTTATAGAAAAAACATAAGGTTGACTGTTTATTAAAAGACTAATGTGTTTCCTGTCATTTGTCCAGTGACCAGATCAGATTTTTTTTTAAAAACTACACAGTAACTAACTTCTGCTTTTTTAATCATCAATATGATTAGATCTTTTTTTCTTCTTTTTGATATCAGCATTACTGATGTAAGGCAAATTAATTATCAAGAATGTTTTATTTAATTTCTAATCTATTAAACATTCAATTATTTATGAAATTGAATGTTTTCAAATGCAGTTCGTATGTAATTTTGTCCAATCAACGACTATTTAGTATTAAAACAGTAATGTATTGATAATGTTTTATGATATTCAATATTAATTCGATCAATCAATATATTGATCTGGATACCTTTTATGTTTTTTGGAAAGTCAATAATTATTCTTAACAAAACAACAGAAATGTCGAAGTAATGCTAAAAATAAGTTATGCTGATCAGTATTGTTGTTTTGTTGTTGATGAAGATACTTGTAAAGGGGTAACTACAACTTGAATAAAGTTTTATCTATAAAATTAGTCTCATTTTACTAATACGAATACTGAAGTGTACAATAACAATAATTTATCTTATTGAGTAATGCCCTCACGTCATTATAATCAACAAAAGAAGTTAAAATGTCAGCTAAGGAATTCAATACAAAGAAAAATGTACAAGAAACTAACTACATATGTAATTAATATGTACTTCCGATAGAATTTGGATACTGAATGGTAAACTTGTCTTTTTTAGTAAGAAGTTAGTTACACTTATGGAATATATCCAAATGGTGAAACATCAGTAGCTAGAAAGTTCAGTATAGTGAAACATTAATACTAAATTATAAAACATTTCTCTCTTTGTCTTGACAAAAATGTTTTGAAAATAGATTTTATTAGTGATTAGCATTAGCAAAAACATCATTATTGAGTAAATTTAGTTCACCAGTTACCTGCTTTCTGGTTTATGATTCTTCAGGAGTACACAATCGTGACCCCACAGGTGAATAATTAATTATACGTCTTGCTTTTCAAAGAATATAACATTGTCCGGTAGTCACTGTGTTTATTTCAAGTTAAAGAATATGGAGTGAACCTCATACAATGACAAAATCATTTTCGTCTGTTTTCATCCTCTCATTATATTTAACTAATAGAAATCATGATTAGATCATACCAGTTTTATATTACAACCTGGTTGTATAATAAATATTTTGAAGTAACTTATTACTATCATTGGAAAGAACAAAATTTACTACTGAATTAATTAACAAAACAATGATATCAAAGTATTATATAAATGTTTTATTAATTTAAAATGTTAGGCAATAAATTTCCGAATAAATTTAACGATTCCAGAATCCGTCTGAATGGATTTTTACTTGACAATTAATCAAATCCAGGCAACATCGAATAGCTATTTTAACTGCTGAGTCAACCATGTTCACATATAAACTCATCAGTTATAGAATCTAAGATATTTAAATAAAGGTTCTAATATCACACTTTACCAATAATAAGTTTGAGGATTTTGAGTTAGAATAATTAACAAGATGTTAATAAATATAATGTGAAAATTTAAAAATTACATCTGTATGTCCATAAGTGCAGAAAATTTCTTTATAAACTAATGTTGATGCTTTTTCACTGGATACAAATCGACTACAAACTAACGTAAATAATTAGCTTTTCAACGTTTAGACTATTATAGTCGTCAACACCATCGTCATCACCACCGCCATCATCATCATCATCATCATCATCATCATCATCATCGTCGTCGTTGTCATCAACTGCAATATTAACAGTAGTGACAATAAAATGTATCTTAGATTCTAACTAACTGATTTCAATAATAATAATAATCTGATTAGTTGTTCAGATGATGAAACTATTTGTTTTTCTTCTTATTAAAGAAAGTTTTCTTTTTCCCTACCTCATTTTATTTAATCTTTTCCGTAATATACAGGTGATTTTGACTAGTTGACATTTGTCATAATGTGTGCTTTTTGTTTACTAACTGTTTCTTACAAAAACAGATTTGTTTTTTATTTCAAGACTGATTGGAGTAAATTATGTTTAATGACGTTTTATCTCTAAATAACTACATAAACATATAAAAAGTAACTTACTTTGTTTTAAGAAAATAAAAGTACGAAAACAGTGTTTCTAAATATTGTTTTTAACATATTCTTGGTGTTCACTTTTTTTAATTTCAAATTATGTATAAAAATAGTAAAGAAAGTAACTTGAACATTTACTCTTATTGAATACCTTAATAGATCAAAAGAAACATATCTTCATATACAACAGTATAGGGAAGATTAAACAAAATGATCTTATGTAGTGACAAATATACTAATCTATTACTCATGAAATCTTAGTTTGTATCTTTGCATACTGGTAAAACTTTCAGACTGATGGTAACTAATAACTATTCGGTTTTTATGACATGGATAATTTTCAAGAGTAAACCTATTTCAATAAAAATATTCAGAAAATAAAAACCTTTGTCTTATTTTTTCAAAAACAATTAGTAAATGTTGATTTATTTTTAGATCCAAGGTAAATAGTTGGTGTTGAGAAATCAGATGAAAAATTACAATTATGAATTGTATGGATTATATCACAGTTTTAGTTTAGATACTTTTAAGCACAAAAACTCAAGATACTAATTGAAACAGGAAACAACTAATACCATTCAGTAGAATACTGAACAGAGTTTAGGTATCTGAAGTGACAATCACTACTGAGTTAAACTCTATGGGACAAAACCTATAATAGTTCGTTGATACATCTTGATTACTAGTAATGAATGAAACGGAGCTTGTTAGCTGGATTCAGTTTCTAGCTATCATTTTACATTCCGTGATTAAATTTCTTCAAATTTCGAATAATGTAATTTATTGATCACGTTTGGTTAGTCTGCTTTCAAATATAATCCTTCTTATGAATGCTGACTTAATAGAGTTTTAATCTGAAACCAAATGATTAAAAACTTTGTGTACTTTTAAAGAAACAGACAATTTTTGAAGTCACTTAAAAACCGCAATGGTACTTTTTTATCATGATTCTCAAGCACAGATTAAAATCAGTACAGGCAACAAAAAACATAGATAGACATTGCTTAGTAATAATATTGTTTTATTCAGACTGCAAAATAATATATGTAATTACGTAATTCAATGTTATCTTGATTGGTTTTTTATTTTAGATATTTTGTTATGCGAATAACCATAATTAATTCTCATTCTGATCAAAAGAAGAAAGAAACACGATAACAAATAAACATGCCTATACCAAGTATTCATGTAAATTCGATTGAAGACAATGGAAATGATGACAGACGAAAAAAGAAACCATCCATACCGATACTACAAGTAGTCGGTGACAATATGGATGGACGTGAAAATGATGTTAACAGTGATGATGATGACGACGATGTAATGACAGCTGAAGAAGAAGCCGCTATCGCGCGTCGATTTCTTAGTGGAAACGATCAAACAGAACAACGCAGGTAAAATAAATAACGAACATTTGTATTATCTAGTTAATATTTCGAAGATATCAATTAATCGTGTGTATTTACTTTAGGTTATTGTGTGATATATAGTATTCAACACTCGATTTTAAAGATTATATATTCACCAAAAATCAGTTTCGCTACTGCCATGATTATGAAAATTTACAATGTTTTGTCTAATTTTCATAAATGACCGATTAAATTTAAGGGATTGAGGACTATTAAGGGCTGTTAGACATTTATTTCATTCTAGAATCAGGTACCTCAATAGTGTATATCCATAAACGTGTACGAGATCAAACGATGGTTCTTCATGTTTTACAGAAGCCACCGCGTCTAAATACTTATCTGAAACGTTTAGTTTTACAGAGTCAATGAGGCTCATGTTTACTAATACTGTAGTTATAAGTGATTACATTTTGGAACAAAGTCATTAGGATAGAACTGATTCACTGAGTAAATGCTGAAGAATCCACCAATTATTGGAACTTTGTAGTGCTTAACATCCTTTTACAACATTTACTGTCATTACGGTAGAGAGAGAAATTTACCACATTTTTTCTGTATACAAAAACATCTGAGGGCTACGGCTCATGTAAAACAAAGTGGATTCGATGCTTTTTGTTTGATCATTACTGTTAGAAGGCCTAAATGTATCATTTATTGTTAACTATTCAACAAGTGTATAAAAAGTACTTTTGTAAAATCTTCACGTAGGTTTTTACAACAATGTACAGGGAAATGTTTTACGTCAAATATCTGCAAAGTTTGAACGAAATAGAAAGATAATATTAAGCATTAGATCGATCACTGTTGGTTGATGTGAAAACAAACTATTTAGTCAATGTAAAAGCGTAGTTTTAAGTGATTTATTTATATAAATTAAATGTTCAAAATGGATCTATTTAACTAGTTGATTTGAAGACACCTGAAGAATGAAATTGCAGAATCTCAGAAAATATTTAAAAATTGACACTGTTAGAATGAATTTATTTAAATCATTTTAATATATACACATTGCTCATGATCTTTTTTTGTTCCTGATATTATAACTTTGCTTTATTGACTTTAGTTTTTGATCGGTTTATATTGATTTTCGATTTTTTTTCATTTTTTTATATTTCAAAGAATGTCTTCATTGGACATGTATCTCTCGCAGCCAGAAGTAGTAAGTTAACTTCATTGGTTATTTTTATTTATTAAATTAGTCCGTAATAAGAAGCTATAACTTGAAAATAGCTGACTAGTCTCTCACTAGCTTTTACAGTTACTTGTGTGAACGAAAAGAGAAGTTTTAAACCACATGAATAAAAATAAACATTCGAAGGAATTTTTGAAGTTTGTTTCAACAAAAGTAACTTTTGGAAATTATTGATCATTAATAAATAAAATGTTGACTATATTCCAAGAAAAGCGAATAGATGATAGAAAGCTTGGAATAATTTACAATAAACACACCGAATGATGTATATAGTCAATACAGGAAAAGGATGAACTCCCAAATCAGACCACTTCCATATATATTTACCAATTAAACTGTCATTATAGGAGCAACTCTTTGTACAAACGACCTAGACAATTTATAGTTGTCCTGTCAAATACTTTCTACCATGACTGGAAATAATTAAGTCCATTTAAAATACTTTGCTTTTTCATTTAGTGGACTAAGAAGGTTGTCAGTAAATAGTTAAGTTTGAGTATATCCCTTTGTAAAAGTCAGTAAAAGCAATACTGGCCAGTATTTTCCATCCAAGTTAGGGGATACGGAAATCATTTATTAGGTCTACTAATTCTTCATGGCTTTCATTTACCATTAGATTACAACAATAATTATTACATCGGATAAATCATTTTTGCGTATATCTAATTTTTATTTCTATTCTCATTAATGTTATTGTCTTAATATTAGATTAACGGTTTTGCTAATTATCTATTTAGTTTACTAATGACATAACTATTTTGTTATCAATTCAGTTAGACTATTTTTTAAATCCATGTTCCGTAAATTCATACAATTCTCAACAAGCTCTCTTAATAATAGTGCAAACATTTTTTATTTTCTATTACTGTCATCAACACTATGATCCACTACCCCATATGCATATATATATATATATATATATATATATATTCATTTGATGAACAATAATGGTCAAATGTTCTGAATAATCAGTTTTCTGATAACTACTATAATCTGAAAATAAATTATTGAAAATGGAAATTGGTTTAAAATGCATTTTCTTACTATATAAAATATCAGAAGGGGTTTTGTGGAAATTGTAGTAATTTCAGTCTCGCGCAAGAGACTGATAGATCCTGGATTCGAATCTCGCGAGGCGGGATCGTGGATGCCCACAGCTGAGGAGTCTCACAATAGGACGAGACGGCCGTTCAGTGCTTCCAGGTTTTCCATAGTGGTCTAGCTGCAATTGACTCATGATCTCAACTATCTAAAATATATTTAAATTACATAATAATAATAATAATTACAGGAAATCACTTGAAGCTTAAGAAAAATCCACTATACTACTAGCTAATCTCTGTCGAATTTTGAGTTGACATGAACTACGATAAGATCTGACTAAGCAGTTATGAATTTTTAAAAAAATAATTTTTGTAGATCATTTAGGTAAGGAAAATCAAATAGCGTGTCTCGGTGATTGAGGAGCATTTTTAAACATTTGTTATATTTTAGGCTTCATGCGTTACTGGATAAATAACTTAGTCACCTATAAGTAACGTTGAACTTGGAACTTATGTGAATCAGTCCAAGTGCAACGTCATGTCAGCACAGGAAGATAAAATTATTAAAATTAATATCTAAGTAGTAGAAATAGTAGTAAGTTAGGGATACAGAATATGATTTGAGAAAAATGAATTTGTATAATAAAAGGCAATAAATAGTTTTGAGACTCTGGATCTATAATGAGACAAAGAACGAGTATATCTACATCACTGTGATTTATTCTGTGACGTAATGCGATGTCTCGAACCAGTTGGTATGATAATCGTGAGGATCCCAACCGGTTAGTCTAGATCTACCAACATGACTCAAACCAAGTGTCTGTAACTTCATTGACTGATGCAACGTTTTATTTGACCGTTTCTGGCTTTCTTTCAACATACCCCCATGCGATCTATCATCGTTCGGCACGCTAGATAGTTGTTGGGCATACTTAAGACATGTCCTACCCCACTCAATAGGTAGGGACTCACAATCTTATCAACCGATATAACTTTCCATTGTGCCCTGGATTTAAATTCAACATTTTTTACTCGTTGTGCTCAACATGCGCAGAGATTATGGTAAGATGCATACAGTCAAATAATAATAACCTACACATGTCTTCTGTTTTCATAGACCACATTCTACATCCAATTCAGTAAAACCGTCGGTTCAAAACTACGTGACTAATGGTTACAATTCTGTCGAAATCATATTTTATTTTCATATTGATCATCGTAATTTATATAAACAGAACTCAGTGTACCAGGAAAATAAGTACTGTCAAACACATCATTAAACTTATATTTAACTAAATGAATCATGATGTAGAATTTCTTAGGACATGGATCAAAATGAAGTTTGCTTAAAAGAAGTCAGTCATCACTGAAGACTATATTCACTAGCCAACTAATCAATCAGTGATTAGCATGATTGTATAGTACGTCCAGGAATTTTCATATACATATAGTAACATTTCGATTATTCAATCATCATGGTGTACTTTATGGATTTCAGTTGACAACGAAGTCTCTGTAGGATACCGGCCAATTTATTTGTGTCACGATATTTTTCCTCAAGTGGTCTACAATGAACATTCCATTAGTTAGGTTCCTGTTTTATAATGATCCCGATGGTATTTAGTGGCTAACAGATGACTGAGAATTGATTCTCGTGTATATCTTAGTCATGGCTTTTGTTAAGCTTTTTTTGTGATGAAATCTGTCTAAATTTATAGTACTTAATTTCACCTTACTTTTCTTGATTAATTTAGAAACAAGAACCCATGATAATTAATCGTCATATAAGTTTGAAAGAAGAAGAAAAAGGCGTAAGTTATTTCGAGAGATTTTGTTGAATAGAGTTATTGGATCATTTATTCGACTTTTTTATCATTATCCAATGCTACTTGTTAGACTAAAGATTAGTAGTTTGTTCATTTTATATGAAAATTCGAATTGAAATTTCCTATATTAAATAATATAAAGTTATACTTCCAATCTAATAAAAAACTGTATCTTTGGCTCGTGTCAACAGTAATAAACAATTATGACTTTACGGTCATACTCAAACTTTCAATTTAATGAAGAAAAAAATCTTAAATATGGTGAAACAATCCTACTGCATTTAGTAACTTCTAATATTTTTGTGAAAAAATAGTTCTTTGTGCTACTAAATAGAAAGGCATTGAGAACACTGGATTACGACATTTAGTTTCCTAGGAGAAATGCCAGTTATTTGAGACAAAGTATTCAATAGGCGTGTAGCATAATCATAACGAATCTTATCCAGTTTATAACTAATTAAAGAGCAGTTTTGTAAATGAATAGTTTGTGGAAATTAAATAATAATGTTACAACTAGGTAAACAGACTTTGTTAAAGTAATCAATTTCAAAAGATGGATAGTGGCTAGTAGTAGAATCCGGGACGCGCGTTCCATCCTATTTGGGACTCGTCAGCTGAATGTACTTGCACCCCACAGTTGGTGTTCACCCCGGGACTCGAACTCACCACCAGCCACTTCAAACGCTATCGCGTTATCTACTCCGCTATTGAGCCCTGATAGCCACCTGCTTGTGCAGGTGGATCAATTGCATTCCTAAGCAACAATGGGAAGGTACAAGCAAACAATACAAAGTGAATTAATTGATTTTTTCGATCCTTCTACAGGTTGTGAATTGAAAAAACGACATATAAATTCGTCTACAAAATTACGAATGAACTGTCTTATCGAATAGATTCTCAGGAGGAAACATACTGTTCCTGGCTATGCTTGGAGATTTAAAGTTATAATTAGAGGTTGTGCACCTAGAATTAAGATTAAAGGCTCGAGATTAGAGATATAAGATAAAGGTTAGGACTTAGGGATAAAGGTAATTCAAGTGTTGTATACAATCTACATGGAAAAAAATCGTTTGATATGTTTTGCATAATCGTTTCTACTCAATGCTAGCAAACAATAATTTATCGTTATTGTTTTAGATATTCTCATATCTACTTACCGAGTGTTTGTAACATACCTTTACTGTTTATTCTGCATGAGTCTTAATAGATGACAATTCGCAACATCCTGGTTGTCCAAAAACTGTATCATATAAATTGGAAGATTTAACACCTTCATTAGACGTTTCCCCTGGTTAAATATTGGAATATTTCAACTAATTGCTCTATTTTCTTAAGCACTGATTACTAAATTCGTATTAAGTTAAACAAGAAAACAACTTCAGACGCTTGTGTGGAAGAAGCGCTATATATATGAGAACTTATACTAATGTAGACTACTCTGTGAATTATGTTGAGACTTCCAACATAAAGTACTCTCTTAACTGAATAGTATACTGACATAATATTTCTTGATATTCAGATTCTTTTCCACAAATTTTGAAAAAATTCTTAGTCTTATCTATTTATTGAAAAACACATTCATTTTTTTATATTCTAGTTTGAGGCAGAGCAAATGCGACTTCGTCAAAAAGAACGTGAGGTAAGTTAATGTATACAATAGTGTTTCTAATAATAATAACATCCTGTTGATGTACGAACCGTGCATTTAAGATCATTTCCTGAGCTATGACGAACTGATTATAATCATCTACAACTAGGGAAAGTAAAACTAAAACGGTGAGCACAGAACAACAAAAGTGATAATTAATACGCTAGATCAGCCAAGTCTATCATAATACATAGGCCATGTTATCTTGTGATAAAGTGTTGTGTTAAAAATTATCCAGATTAGTTAGTTACCGGGACGGTGTTAGTGTAGGGAGGTTTACTTAATAGGCTCAGTAATAAAATCGTTAAACATCCAAAGTTCTTATAATCTTACTCGTGGAATGGGATATACTTACAAATTCAAGCACATTTCAGTCACTTTTATAGAGGTAAGCATCAATCCAGAGAACAAACTTACAGTTAATCACTAACTGCTAACAGACGGAGGATTGACGAGACTATAATTTATGGACGAATCAACCAGATTCAGGATAACAGGTCTTCGATTTTAGCACGAAATTCATTCATCCATTTAGCTAAATAGCGTTTCAGTATTTTAGCTGATATCATTTCATGATGAAAGCCCTAAATCTAATTCCTTACCCTAGCCATCAACTTTAAATCATAATCTTTACTCTCCACACAGGTTTATAACCCTCATTTAGCCCCAGCAAGTAGGTGGGGATTTCGAAGGTCGATTTGGCGTCGCTCAAAGGACATCCATAAATTACAGTCCCACCAAATGATTACTAAGATAGGTTCATTCTTCACCGTTTTCAAGGTCTCAAGATTAGTATCACTCTGCACACTTTATTATTTTAATCTCATCCTTTTCTTACGAACTGTATCTCCTGATGTTGCTCCACTTCCTTGTAGATCAGACCTTAAGGTCGAAAGATTCGGGTGTGCCCCCCTAAGAAAACCACCTGCTTCGGTCTGGGCACAGGGGCAGTGTCACAGTAGACACACAAATCAAGTGACTTGTGTGGGGGCATATGTATCTGGTTCCTTCTTGTACCAATATTTATGTGTTCAAATAAATAATAAATAAATAAAATACATTCCCTAAGTCTCATTTTGTAACTACCACTGATATCAATTATTTGACGCTCTGCATCTTGTCAGTTTTTTCTTACTGTTTTGATTAGAATCATGACAACTCCAACCAACTTCAATTATTATTAATGCCTAGTTAGACCTTGTTTATAATTGACTCATGGGTCGTAAAACAATATTATTCAGTGATTTTTATAGTAAGAACATGAAAAAGTCAATCGAACACGAAATAGTTACATTAACAATGAGGATTCGACTAAACTAATTAATGAAGAAGCTGGCAATTCAGGTACAGTTTTGTTACAGTTTATCAGAAATGTCAGAGAATATTGACTAATTAGACACCACGTGGCGTTATGTTATGCCGTTTTCTGGAAGATTAATCAATAACTAGCTTGTTCTTGAGTAAAGTTATTCTAAACCATAATATTTCAAAATATATTCTCTTGTCAGAAGATAACTATTGTTAATTATGACTAATAATTGCTTTATTCCTTATCAATCTAGTTTTTTTACATTCATCATTAGTTGTAATATTAAGTAGGTTAATTAGATGATTAATTCTCATCGTAAAACATGGTTCTTTTCATTCCTTATCAGAAAGTATCTTATTACATATAAACCAAAATCAAGAAATCAATCTGTAAATTTATACATACATGCGTCTAGAGATAATGTAAATGGCAAAACAGTTGTTTAAACATTTGTAGCTATTGTTCGTTTATTATCGATTAGGTGCGTATGAAAAGTATACTGAGTGTTTCATCCGAATTATATTTTTTCTTTTATCACAGTGTCATCTGAATTTGAATAAGTCATCATTATGCAGACAGTAATGGAAATACTAGCATTTAGTTGATATATATAAGACAATTGACTAAATCGTTGTGATCGATCATGGCAGTCGAAAGAAACATACGATTAATAGCGTACAATTTAGTAATGTTTTCTGTCAATCGGTGTTTATGTATGCTGATAATATTTAACAAAGACTACTTACAGTGTTTTGTGTTTTCCGAACACTACTTTCATTTGTTCTTCTTTCCTTTTCTTCATGTCACTGTGTAACATATATGTTCTACCATTGTTTTGTTTTCTCTGTAAAATAAATTTGAAAAGTTTAAGAGGGAATAACTTTAGAAAATGTCATGCATCTTGATCTGAGTGTGAAAAAATTAAAGATTTTTTGCTGAAATTTATACAGTTTTTTATTCACCATTCAGGCTTTTTTACACACAAAATTATTTGAAGAGAAACGAGTGAAAAATAAAAAGCGAGATAGGTGCAAGACGATGATGAATATAAATAAATTATGTTGTCATTATGGACATATAACAAATGCTGCTGTAAAAACTGATTTGTGGGTATGTTAGATGTTAGGTAGTGATTTTGGTAGAGTTTTGTCCTCTGAGCTGGATGGTTTGGTCGTGGAGCTTTCATCGTTATTCTGAAAAACAGCATCAGCACAAACCTCAGGTGATGATGTCGTTCAGCATAACGATGAAAGCTACAAGGCCAAACCATCCAACTCAGAGAACAAAAATCCATCAGAATCATCCACTTGAGCTACAAATCTTCTCCACCATCTCAAATATTAGGTAGTTGTAGGCGATTAGCAAGACGCTATGCGTCATTTGGCCATGATCTACTAAAATCTCGAGTCACTTAGTATATTGACCACTGTAGTTGAAAGTATTTAATCGGCACTAATGAATCGATGTATAGTCGACTACTAATCAATAAGCAGTTAGAATTAAACTTGATATAATACTTTATGCAGCAATGACTGTGTTTGACTGAATTAATTGGAAGAAGACAGGTTATTAATAATAACTGTGAATAGTTAAGTTTCGGTAAGAATATATATGAATACGAGTTCTTACCCATTTGCTTCGTTTAATAGTTTATGGAGATAAGTTAAGTTTGGTGATATCTTATATCACATAACTGCGCCAACTAGCAAACTGGTAAAAAAAAGGCACTGTACAGTTAATTTATCATAGTTTAAGCCTTCTTAAACGTCTACTGTCATGACCCTGCTAGAGATATCAGTCCATAACGTAAACCTAACTTGAAATTGAAATCACCTCCACAAGTTAATCAAGTCAGTAATGTGCTCAGTAGTGACATGCTTTGAAATTATCTCATGAACGTTCAATGAGAAATTACACGTGACATATAATCAAGTTGGGAATGAGACAGTTATCTGCTGAATGTGACAAATAGGTATCGTTTGATTGGACATTGAACTAAACACTAATGGATTCCACCTCAGTAACCTAAAAGTAATATATCTGAACTGAAATCTAAAACTCCTTGGTTGATGCTAATTAATATGCAATCAAGTATTAATACATAACAGTTATTCAATGTTTCTTTTTCAGTTATTCTTCAGCCGATAATGTTCCTCGTCATAATCTACTGTTTTGGTACATTATTCTTTATTAAAAAGATTTAGTTCTAAACGTAAATCTTCAGATATTTTTCTTGTATTTACATCATTCATTACTTACAAATTTTTCTATGTAACACCATGTCCGATCATCTTATTGAAAAAAAAATCAAGAAGAAAACCAACTATTTATTCCTTTTATTAGTTTACTAATCTATAAGCTGACATTTAAAACGGTTATTTGTTTATGCAAATACAGTTGAAAATATTCTTTCCATACTGCTTTCTCTTTTTTTTTCTTATTTGGCACCATTTACTATTTAGTATGTAAATAACATATCATTTGTTTTGAATTTAAAAAATATTGTTTTTATATATTCTAAAGAGGAAAGTTTACTTGTCTTTGAAAAATAAAAGAAAACACTATCAATTTGTGTAAAATGTCTATTAACTTCTTCATGAATTTAAGGTATAGTGGTTTCGTTACTTTCTAATTGTTAATAACATGTGTTGTTTTAGTATTTGTTATGTTATCATATGAATGTTGGTGTATTTTATTATAACTAATACTTGGAAGAAACGACCGTCCAGTGCTTTCAAGTTTTCCATGGTGGTCTAGCTTCAATTGACTTATGATTTCAACTATTGAAATTATTAATGTTGTAACTATGGTAGTGATGTGTGTGAATGACTGTACTCTTGGAGTGGAGTGATGAACGAAACAGTCCTTATAAGAATCTCGATAGATTTCTATTTTTCTTAATGTTGTTTTGTTATATGATTAAAACGTTCTGCTCATTGTGAGGTGTAAATCTTAATCACTTTAAGATTATACATGTGATGAACAGTAACATTGAATAGATATTTGTTTTAATATTTTGTTATTTATATTAATTTCTTAAAATATTGTTGAAATTTCTCTAGGAAATGGAAAAACATCAAGAACAACTAAGATTAGAACGTGAAGAGGTAAGAGCATGCATTTTATTGATTTTCACATTTGACGAATTATAATCAAGATTTGTTGTATTGTTTCTCATCAGTTTGCTTATGCTTTCTAATTGAATAAGAAATTATGATTATTAAACCAAGGTTATATTTCTCATAATCAGTGAAAGATGAACCAGTGTACCATTTGCTTACACAAGTATATAATTCTTTCGTCATTACTTAATGAAACAGTGCAGAGCGGGATCAAGATCATGACATATTGCACATCGATTTTAGTTGGAAACACTGATAACTACTGGATTCTAAATTAGTAGTAAAGTTACTCTACTATATCTGACTCGCAATCTAAAAACTTTGGAGATTACCCTGCATTGGCTCGTCGATGTTTATTGTCAAAAACTCTGGAACGAAGATCAAACAACAGTCCGCCACTTTTTATTATTTAATAGTTCGTAGAATGAAAATTATTTCTAATTCATTTCATGTTTTGAAAAAGCCATATTTTATCCTTTGAAAATGTATCTTGGAAACCATTTTAAGTACTCGAAGTTTATTCATGATCTTAGTGTAAGTAAAATTTATTGCTTACTAACTGATTAAGTGGCAGAATCCAACGTGATAAAACAATCATTCACTTGAAGTAGCATGGCTAATTTCATACTTATTTATCTAAATGTTAATAGAGACACTTTCACAGAGCTATCGGTCATAATTACATTGTGTGTAGAACAATATATCAAATGTCCAGTGTTACTTGATTATATTATGAGTATAGCCATGATCTTTCATATATTCATTTATCATTCTTATAGATTTATTAGTAATTATATACATATCTGGGTCAGATTCCTAAATATGGGGCGGCAGGTTACTGGTTAAGGAGTTCAGCTCTCAGCCAATAGTAGGTCACTTGTACAAACCTTACTCCACTAACTCCGGTTCGAGCAACCAATCGGTATCATTAGTTATCACATTTAAAAGGTGGTTCATACCCAAGCACCTGGTGAATGAGTAAACTTGAATTTAAAATTTAGATTATTAAGTAAAGGCATACAAATTAAGTGAACGACTAACTCAATTATAATGTCATTGTTTATACATATCTTGCATGATCATAATCTTCAGTATAGATAACGAACGACGGTCTTTCACCAGTAGATTCAAGGTTCAAATCCTCCATCATCTGTCTCGTCCTAGAAAGCTGGACACCATAAGTCTCTATAATAGTGTGGTTCGAAGCTGAGCGTATATACATTTACTTGTTAGGTGAGTTGCATACAGCACAGATACTGAAGAAGGACAATGAAAATATGGTTATCTTTCATAAAGTGCTACTGATAACAATTTAGACAGATAATTTACACAGACCTGTTTTGTTTTCCCTTTAAGTGGAAAACATTAATTTGTACAATATTTAGTTTTTTTCTTTTTTCCTTTCTAAAAGGTTAAAAAAGCCAGAGCGTCCAAAAGACATGTGAGTATTGAATGAATGTCTTTTCTAAAATTAATTCTCATTTAATATTTCAATAATAACGAGATAGCAATCTTTACAATTAGTATATATTTTCCTACTAAGGGACTCTGAATTCAGTTAACTACTTGTTTCTGATAAACTTATTATTTTTTGATCAGTTCTGTATACAGGTTAATCGTATTATTAGGTGTAAATTCATTCACGTAAGCCACTTTAAACGGCATTTTTCTCAGAAAAATACTTTTGATACAGTTTAGATAGTCTAACTGAAATAGGACGAAAATGATATGTACTGGACAGTAACAGTGATCAACGCAAAACAATTGAAAACTAGATTTTGTATTTACTGGAATTGGTCAGTAGAACACATCTCTAATTTTGAATGGAAATGATATATTATGAGACATTTTAGAAAAGCATGCTTCTGTCAACAAGGTAATCGAACGTACTACCAGTGAGTAAATATAAAAAATGTACTAATTCAAAAAAGAAACCTGTAGATACTGGCATCACATAATTGGAGACAATAGAATAAGCACTTTCACTTTGATCATTACTCTTTGGAATCAATGATGAAAGGGGCTCAAGAATTAAGATTATATCCAAAAGAATTAATTATGTCACAATGAAGTCGTATTACAAAGATAAGAAATGGAAAATTACACAGAAAGCTAGAAAAACTAATAATAACCATCTGAATAGATTTTCAAATCTAATCAGTCAATACATTAATTACGTCAAATGAATATTTATATGAATAGTTTCAAAGAATACCTTAATTATTAGTGATCAATCAACACATATTTCAGCTAAATAGAAAGATTTTTAAAGTCGGTTACTATCCATTGGTATTGCATAACTTTTGAATGTCATTGAAAATGTCGAAATTAATTTCCGACTTTCTAAGCTCTTTTATATACAGATTTTATGAAATGATCAATTTTTACATTCCAGTTAAACAAAATACAGAAATATATAATCAGATCTTTTATCACAATTGAATGTAGGATTGTAAATTTCTGTATGAATTATCATTTACTTTAATTTTTTTTCATTAAAAAAGGATAACTTATTACTAGTACCAGTTATATAATACACAAGATATGGATTATCTTTAAGGGATTTGTTTGAACCCGGAATTTTATTGCCGTTTTATTATAATAAACACCTTTATAAATTTTTTATGTGATTAAAATAAATTATTCATTTTACCTGTGTACAAATGACTTACACTTTGTATAAGATAATTTAATAAATATTTGACAGGTTATGAGAAGGAAAATCTAATATCGAATTATTATAAGCAAAGATGGATAGTGGTTAGCAGTGGAATCCAGGACGCGCGTTTCGTCCAATTTGGGACTCGTCAGCTGGATGTATCTGAATCTCAGAGTTGACGTTTGCTCTGGGACTCGAGCCCAGTACCGTTCGCTTCAAATGCCATCAAGTTATCCACTTAGCTGCTAAGTCCTTATAGCCACCTGCCTGTGCAGCGGGGTGAAGTTTAAATTCATTTGGTGTTGTTTGACTTGTATGTTGCCATTGTTATTCGAGACTGCAATTGATCAGGTGGCTATCAGGACTCAGTAGCTAAGTGGATAACTTGATGGCGTTGGAAGCTAAAATTTTTGGGTTTGAGTGCCAGTGTACATCAACTCGGGGATACAGGTACATCAAGCTGATGAGTCCTCAATGGGACGAAACGCGCGTCCTGGATTATGTTTCTAGCTACTGTCCATCTTTGCTTAAAAAAAATTGACTTAAGGCTCTATCGAGGCATCCGCATGGGATACACATATACTAACATGAGACTAATCAATTGGAGTCCTAAATAACAATGGGAAGATAGAAGTAAAACAACACCAAGTGAATTCGAATTGTTATTCTTACCAAAATTTAACTTGATGATTTTAAGTTAAGTATTAGGTAAATTGATGATGTCCTAGTGTGTAGAAATTAGGATGTTTGATGTTCTATGACGTGAGTCACTTATTCAAAGAGTAACCGATAATTATTTTAAACTAGGAAAAAAGAGACTTAAAGTATGTCGTTACAAGTTAGAACTCTTAATTTCCTTTCATTAGAATATCACAAATAGATCATTGTTTTTATTATTAAAATATTTAGCACAGTGATATTTATAAACGAGAATAAACTAGGTTTATTTCGAAAAGAAAAATTAACAACATAAAGATCATCTTTCCATGGTTATTGAAAAGATAATGTGGAAAGAATACATATCATAGTTACCAGTATCAAATTCTATTGGAGGAAGAAAACTTGACTTTACTTGAAATTGTGGTTCAATTTTTCAGCTCCATTATTTTCCAAATCAAAAAACAGGATATTTTTCTTCTCGCTACATTTAAGAATCTACACACTATACAATATAAATTCTATATGATAAAAATATGATAAAGAGATAAGTGATTTTAATCGTTTCCTTTTTTTCTTTTTCAATGATTCAAGTCAAAAGTTGCTGAAGAACAAGAGTCCAGTAAAAACAATCAAGTAAGACGAATGAATTATCATAAACAAGGTCTTGGAGGTTTAAGTAAAGAGCGTAGAAAAAAATTGAAGGTTAGTTAACAAAAGGAAGTTTTGTTAAATTAGTTTAAAGAATATTACTATTATGGATGTATAAAAATCGTTTCAACGCTTATTTTTACCTGGAAAATGAAGCAATATAAAATAGTAACAAATTTCGAACTACTTACACAAATTAAAAGTAGCTGATATTCATATACAAAATAAATGAGACTATATATACTAGGATCATTTCAACATTAAATTACAATAGACTTCAAACAACGACAAAGTTTGTGATAAGTCTTATCGATTGAACGCTGTATTAGTTTCCTAAGCTATCCTGGTAACCCGCAAGCTAGAACTACACAGCGACTTGAACACCAGAGAGAAGACCCAAGTATGAGGGGAAATACTTCACCCCGAGGTTCATTCTATTACAGAAAATATAGGGTTTTTATAATATTTTAAGTGTCCTTGGGTCGCTGGAATATTCTGAAAGGCTACTAAACATAGTAGCACTGTAGTAGCCAACCAATCAGAGCTCCCGCATGTAACATTTTGCTACCTTGATATTTCTGGCCAAGACTCCAAGTGAACACTTCCTAGTGTTTCTTGATGCTTGCTTGTCTTTTGCAAGCAATTTCTGGGTCACCCCAACAGTTTGTAATAGATCTGAATGTAGCTATGTGTCTTTGAGAAAGTGAAAATAGCATTTTTGAGATAGTCAAAAGAATAAGTTCAAATCAAAATGTCATCACGAGAATTCGTATCAGTAATTAATTTCAATGTAATGAACGAAGACATAGGTAGAATAAACCAATTTGGTTTATTAAGCAAGAGTACACACTATATTTGTAAAATATGAAAACAATACATTCAATACACCATTTGCACATCTTCAATGAATTGCCGCTTACAAGCTCCATAGTTCATAAGTTCCTGTTGCTACTTAGACTGCTTTTGCTTTTATTTCTCTTTTCATGTTCCTCTTCTGTTACAAAGAATCCTATTTCCAAATCTTGATGTTATTATTTTTACCATATGAGTTTATGAAATCACTTTAAAAGAGTAAAATTATTTATTTATTTATTTAACTTAACAACAATATTTCAGATTCATCCGAATAATTTCATAATATAATCATTACATTTTGGAGATTTAAGCAACTACCCAATTCAGATTTGCAATAGAGAAATTTGTTTTCTATGGTTTTTTGTTCATTAGATAAAAGAGATAATCTGGAAATTGTAATGAAATATAAATTGAGGAAATGTGTAGATAGTATAAAATAGTTGAAACACATTACTTATCAAAAATACATCCGCTTTATTAATGATCATCCCAATTGACTATACTTTTGCCACTGAATAAATATAGAGAGAATTCAGTGAAATGTATTGCTTAAGTAAATAATTTCATTGAAAAGAAAATTTTCGCCGTTCAAATCTCTTAGTTTTAAATACTTTTTTGTTTATTTTTAAGGAAATGATCTTGCAAAAAGCAAAAAATGAACTTCTTGAAGAAAGAAGAAAAGAACTTCGTAACCGTGAAGATCACATCAAGAAACAAGCTCCTCCATTCGACATTGATGGTTTAAATCAGAGTGAGAAAGTTTTTCAAGTAACATTACGGTTATTTAATGTAGTCAGAAATATGATTACTTTAATTTGAACAAAATGAAAGTTATAATTAGACTTCAGAAATTAAGTTTGATTAAAAGGAAGATGTTGGTTGAATTTGAAAAGGGGCTTGTGAGTTACCAATCAGTCTTGTCTAATGTATGAACCACAAGCCTTGATTGTTGATGAAGTTTAAATTTCGATTCAGTTCCTGAGCGTCATCGTCAAATCGTTTTAAATTTTTTAGTTAAAAAATTATAAGATAAAGCAATAATTGTAGTGTTAAAAGAGGGCTTAAACAAAATAACAGATACAAAATGTAATTTCTTATTCTGTAAGGTAGTTAATGAATGACTGAAAAAGCTGTTAAACTCCTTTCAGTATACCATCACGATCGAATCACACCAAATTTCTAAGTAACGAATGGAAAAATCGGAGCTCTAATGATACAGAAAGCAGAGCACGTAAATTACTAGTCCATCTAATAATTATCTGAAGTGTGACATGGAGAGTACTAATTTAGATTTCTACTTAAAACTATACAAGGAAGTTGATTTATCCAGAATAGGAAACGCTGAAAGAGAACATATCATGTACTAATGCTATCAACTTCTGTCGGAGAACCCATAGTTACTGAACGTGTATTTGCAATATTTATCAAATCACAAATCCAAGCGAGTGGTAGCAATAATATCAGGTGTAGAACAGTGTGGAAGTGGCTAAAAGACTGATGAGGTTGTGGATTACATCGACTGACATGAGTTAAATATCCTCATTCACTCACCACCCTAGTTCTAAAAGTTAAATTTTTATTAAAAAGGTTGGAGAAAAACAACACGTGAGCAGCGTAAGATACGGAATCGATTATTTATGTTCCTGATTGGTATCAACCATGAGGAAAAATTTAAGTTTCCCAATCCAAATTATCAAAGTAAATGTGATCTGAGGATTAAAATTCCTACATAACTCAAGAATTATTTCAGTATCATAGATGAAATCATCCTTAATGACTCCTTTTATCATTGTCTGCTTTCCACATTTTTCTCCTTATTTCCTGATCACTTTTACTGTTGTTGTTTGCACACTTATACGTTCCTCTAATTTCACTTCTTGTAGTAGTGATATAAAAGGCAATGACCCGTATAGATATATATTTGTGCTATCAGTATGGGATTATGTAGGCCTTTACATATTATTGAGATGCAGAATTAAACTAAGTTTTATTACCATTGGTAATCTGGAGGCACTGAATAGCTGTTTCGTTCCAGTATATGACTACCAAGAAGCGCAAACACATGACCCCATCTATAGAGACTAAACACAGGACCTCTAGACCATTGAGCCGAGGTCCAGTGGTGCAAAAGCTTAGTTTTCAACTAATTCGCGATATTGTGCAACTAGCTTCCATTGTCTTGAGTGAGTATCTTTCTCACACTCCATATAGTTGAATTTCTATTAGGGTTTCTGTTCAAAGTGTTCGCTAACGTTGATTAGACAAACAAGAAAATGGATTGCTTCTTAAGTCAAAAGATTTTACATATGTAGGCTCCATCTTGCATAAACTATTCTCCAAAGAGTTATATTTGAAGCTTAAAAGACTTTTAAGTTGTAAATTCCTTATGAACCACGTCCGACTAAGAAGCTTTCAAGTTATCCAGTGGTTATCTAGACGAAATTAACCTTCAATAAAAGCTTACCAAAGTTACCACGATCTTATTTTATCAGAAATTTAGTGAACTAAAACATATAATAATCCACTTAAATATCTCTTCTACTGAATTCACCAACGTACAACTGAATATGTGAATATATTTTTTCACATTAAGTGCAACTTGAACAAAAGGTGAAGTCGTGGTACGAACACGTTAAACAATTGGAATCACAAAAATACGAATGGGAACAAAGATTACGCAAACAGGATGAAGAAGTAAGTCAATGGATGGGATTTTAAGTCTTTTTCAAAAGTATATTATATATGTATGTATATCAAAGTGAGCGGTTTAACTTTTCCAAGGGAGATCAAGATCATACAAACCAGAGCATTTTGTGGATACCTTCCATTGTGATTTGACATCATCCGGTATATTATCGAATCCTTCGATGAATTTACTGACGAATAGAAACTGTGCGAAAACTGTGTCCACAACTTACCAATGAGTGGTCCCAAGTATCTAAAGTAGATTTTAAGAAAGATATACTGAGAGGCGGAAAAATACTCGTTGATGACTTTGCAGACTAATAGTCTTTGAATAATCATGAGAGGGATTCATATCCATACCTATAAAGCAAATGGCACGTTTAAAAATGGATTGATCGTATACTTAAATCCATATTCATTAAATATTCTACACGATATCTGATGAATTTATAATCATGTAAACCAAAAAGAAATTTTACGTCTTGAAAAATATTTCTATGAAGACAGTTATGCTCCAGTCGGTACAGACTAACTTGATGGGAATGATAATAACGAGATGCTGAAGTTAGTCATATTAAAATGACAGAGTAGAAAAAAAGCAACATATTCTACAGATTTTATCGATTGATTCTAAAACAGTTAATCACATTTTCATAAGAACGTTTCAGTACGAGAAGGTAGGCTCTTTAAAAGCTTCCAGTTCAAATGGAATGGGATTTTCAAAAACTGATGTTGTTTATATCTAAATTACAATGAATAAGAGTGTTTATCGACCGAGTGGAAAGCTCATTTAAATCGGATAATTTGAATGGAAAAGCAGAATGAATTGCATTATGCTCAGTCGTAGTTGAATTGATAATACTTACATCACAAGAGTGTAATACTATAAATTATTATGATTTTTAAGAAAATCACTTTCAGAATGAACCTAAAAATTCAGCATTACTTAAAAACGTTATAATGATTCCTCATATAAATTAGTGTATAAAATCAAGAAATCAAGTTACTCAAATGGCTTTTCTTTTCCTTATTTATGCAGATTAACGAACTGACAGCTCAGTTATGCTCAATTAAAGGACACTTGTAAGTAAATATTTGGTTAATAATAATTTCCAAATATACAGAGTATCAGGTAAATTTCCAGGAAAGTTGCTGAATTACAATTTGAGTAAATAAGAATTTATTCCTACCTAGTACATATTGAAAACACGATTGATTACATTAAAGTGCACCACCCACCAGCATTCTCCACCCAACTGTCCTCGGCAATTCTTTTCAGTTGCTATTTATTCTTTTGATGTCTGCTTCCAATTCCAACGCAGTGTATTCCTTGATCTTCCTCTTTTTCGTTTCCCTTCGGGATTCCAATTTAGCGTTTGCATTATGATGCAGTCGGATGATTTCCGCAGTGCACGTCCTATCCACTTCCATCGTCTTTTCTTAGTTACCTCCTTAGCTGAAAGATAGTTTTTTATCTCCCGTAGTAGGCTGTTGCTGATGGTATCCAGCCAATGGACATTCAGTATCTTACGTAGACAATTGTTTGTAAATACTTTTATCTTTTCGATAATAGTATTGAAGATTCCCACTTAGATATCAGTCGATAGTTGGTTTGAGTTCTATTTTTTCTTCAACTGTAGAAACGCTGTCTTTGCTATGCCAATTCTCTCCTTTACGTCTGCATCGGATCCTCCACGTTCATCGATGCCACCCAGATACATGGAACATTCCACCTCTTCCATAGTTTCTACATCAAGTGTGATTGGGTTGGTGTTCTTCTTGTTGTATTTGAGGATCTCATTTTTTCCCTTGTGTATGTTGAGGCCTACTGCAGCTACACTGTTTATCTCCATTTGCATTTGTTGCTATGTATAGGACAAAAGAGCTACGTTATCTGCGAAGTCCGAATCGGCCGATCCTTACGGAATCCGGACTATTGATCTCGAAGCTACTGAATCTTTCATCGGGTTCGGTAACACTGTTGAAAAATTTTCCTAGCACTGATAGTAGTGTGTTGCCTCTGTAGTCTTCACATTCGCTCATATCTCTTTTCTTTGGTATCTTAGTGATATATCCTTCTTTCCAGCCTATCGGCACTTGTTCTTCTCCACAAATCTTTCTAAATAAAATTTGGAGCATGTTTGCAGTTTCTTCTATATCTGACTTCAGTGCTCCGACTATGTTGTTAGGTCCTGCTGCTTTCCCACTCTTGACTCGTCTGATGGTCATGCCAATTTTTTTATCGTTGGTGAAGCGACATTCATAGGGAGGTTTGTGCGTGCTGCATCGATGTCCGGTATGTTCAGTTGGGTTGGTTTATTCAAGTGTTCTTCATAGTGCTCTACACACCTTTTCCGCTGTTCATGAATCCCAGTGATTGAATCGCCTTGTTTTCTCTTAACTAGTTGCTCTGGTTTACCATATTTCCTTTCTAGTTTATTCGTAGTATCATGTAGCTGCTCCACATTTCCTTCTCTTGCAGTTTTTTTTCCGCCGTCATTGTTAGATCTTCTAAGCATTTCTGCATGTCGGCTTGTACCTCTGTGTATTCGGTCTTTCCTTGGCTTTCTCTGCATGAGGTTCCCATCCTATAAGTGCTTTTTGGAGAAGCACCAGTGCAACTCCTTCTGTGTATGAAGCATTTGTCATGAGCAGAGTGCAACGCCAACTCCTCCGATGCTAATTTTTTTCTGTCCAGCTTGGATTTAATTTGTTTCACGTGTTCTGATAACCACCTAGTTGTATCTCCTCATTTCCATAGCTATTCGACTGATCCTCCCGGTCTACCACATTATCCGGATATTTCATGTACCTATGTTAATTGTTGCTCTGGTTGTTAGAAAGAGCATAGGCCTTGTGGCTTCCAAAGAACCTCAGTATCCACCATAAGGCATCATAATTCTTCTAAATGAAGATCCTTTAACTCTCACAGCAGAATTTAAATCATTTATTCTGGATAGCGTTTTTTTTCTATGGGATGGGTTTGTTAACCCTATGCCCGACCCTCCTCCTTTACCCAAGTTTGGGACCAGCAGTGACTCTAGGATCTTTGTTAACATTAAGTGTATTCCGAACCGGATAATATTAATTGTGCTTCATTAACAACACTAGTACTCGGAGATAGTCACTACTGAAAACTGAAATTAGTTAGAGGACCACTGAGAACCACAAGCTACTGAAGAACTCCGTAATTTTTATCGCATCATGTACTCACGAAGAAAAAATAAGTGAGCTATTTTGGGGGGGTTTATAGAGAAAAGAATGACTCAAGAACTAATCTAGATTGGTAATTTCAATCAATTTGTGATATACTAATATCCTTATTGAACCCTATTATTCTCCAACTTCGTTGATGACTCTACAGACTAGGTGTTTTTACTAAGACTTCAAACGTTCCATGAAGCTAGTTGATAGTAAGTACAAGATTAAAAATAATTCAGTTAGATTTGTAAAGATTTTGTATAGTTTGAAGACAATAATTATCAAGAACTGATATCAGCTGGATAATTCATTAGTCTTTTTAAAAGTATATCAGTAAAGGCTTAAAACGTAAACCATAGGTACAGCGCACTAAATTTTGGTCTTCCAACGTAAATAAATTTTCAATGCTTACTTAATAAATCAGGTTATCTCGCTACATAGTAACACGTAATTTTATTTATCTGTTCTCATCAATTACCGTTTTCAATACAAATTAGTAGCTAGCTATTATTTTCCTCTCTTATTTCTATTTCTTCTCACTAATTTACTAAATAATAAATTTCTATTTAATGCATCAAGTCAAAAACCAATTCTTCGTAAAGTTGCTAAGCCGATGTCAACGGATAGATTACGCGCGATGAGTGCCGCACCAAATTTCATGCCCAAAACGGGGCATAAAAATCCCGTAGAAATGAAGAGAAAACTGTCGGATGATAGTAATCAGGGTGTAGTAAGTTATATTTTTCACACATGCATGTCGCTTAACACTTACAGCAATAGTAATATTTCTTAGTAATAAGGCTGAACAATATAGTTATTTAGAATGTTTAACTGTATAACCTTGCATTGTTAAGTTATTGATATGTTTCATACTAACGGCGATAAATCCTATGCTTCGACATTAGGATACTACAGCTCTCTTTTATTACTAGTCCTGGATATTCTAAAATATTTACTGTCAATGGTTAGAGATTATTAGCCATTCGAATTCATTCATTTATGCACATCATATGAAAAGAGATTGTTACATAGAGCTGATACAGTTGGATGTTATACTGAACAAAGTACACTGAATTAATTAATACAATGGAAATTTGACTGCAAATCAAATGAACGAAGAACATACTACACCAATATATGATCTTACGTTGTATTTCTTCCTAATAAATCGTGTTTGGAGGTATAACGTTTCAAATAGCTGTAAGTGATCATCCGAATGATACTGAATTGCAAAAAACAAGTGCGTTGGACTTCCTCATATAGTAGTTGAAAATGTGCTTTTGAAAACTGCGCTAAGCTTGAAAGGACGAATTAATAATTAAAATATATTAGAAAGTAATACGGAAATGCATTCAACTACTAGTAGTGGAAAAGTTTAGGTATAGACGACACAATTCTATATGAAAGAATGAATAAATGGAATAGAAAATGTATAAGACAATTTTAGAAAAACTAAGAGTGAATGTATCTAAGTTGTGTCACTCAAGATTTCCAAAATATAGAATATTACATAATCGAAACTAGTTTAACTCCTTAATTTATTAGATTCTTTCTTTTTATGACAATAGAAATCAAATTTGAATGGGACCGGTGGTGTATTCGCGAAAAGTTGATGAGAAATTAATGCAAGAAGAACTATTTCAAAATAGTGATGAATAAGAACCTATATATATATATATATATATATATATATATATATATATATATATATATATATATATATTTCATATGTTATTCGTTTACCTTATTGTAAGTCAGATAAAAGTAACAACCATAAAGACAATAATAATATTGCACTCATTTCTCTATCTTCCTTTTATTATACATTTTTCTCCAGAGCAGAAAAAGCACCTACAAATTAATCACATGAGCATGTATTGTAACTTTTAAATTGTAGAAATTATAGAGAATCCATCATATAAGGCTACCTTTATACCAGAGGAAATGATTGTAATTTTAACTTTTCTTGTCTATTTTATAATTTCCATTCAAATGTTGTGATTGAATAACTACATAAACACTTATTTTTTGTCATTTTAGAGACTATCAACATCATTTACTTTATTCTTTACTCACATACTTTGTGAAATACTCCAATTATTTTGCCAATAACCATTTGATTAACTTTATTCGTGCTTCCGATTAATTAAATGAATCTATAAGTATTTGTTGGTGCGATTTTAAATGATCAGTTATTTCTCAGGTGGGCTATATAATTTTAAAGTGTATATCCTTTCGTTCCTGTACCACACCTATAAACTCATAAATTCAGATTACAAGATTGTTATTAGTCCAATAGTTTTCTCCTCACCAAATGTACACTCAGTTGTTTTCCGTTTAAAAGTAAATTTAAACTTCCAACTAACAAAATTGGTATCATTTAAAAACCAGATTATGGGAAAACAGAGATCAAATTTTAATAAATACTGCTGAAGTGTGTTACTAATCTGGTTATTGCACAAAAGTACGAATGAATATCTCAGACAGTAGTGTATCTCACTTTTTAAAAAAGGTCTGAATTATTTTTACAATGTAGTCGGAGTGTTAAATGGATCTCTATGAGAGAGACGAATGCATAGATACATTATCAGTACGAATAATTACTGAGTTGCTAAAAAACGAAAACATAGAAAACTATGTCGAACACAAATAGTTGTCTGTTAGTCATCAATGTAATGTTCTGATTTTAATACTCATCCAACTCGCACCACTCGTAAAAGAGGTCGGAAACTTTACTCAGCATTTATTCGTCTTAGTCTTATTGTCAGTCATAAGTTGATAAAACAGAATGAACGATGGCGCAAACTCGAGTTCCCAACTTGAGTAAATAAACCACTCAAACTACTGGACCTAGAGCAACTGTGTCCATCCAGTTTGCAAAAACCTACATCAGCACTACAAGAGGAAACAAACACGAAAATTACAGTAATGGAAACAGCAACACTAAAAGCAATTAGAAGTGCAAACAGAATAGAAAGCACAGAGTACTGAAATTTCTAAGATGAAGGATAATTTCATTCATAATGAAACGAGTAATTCTTGAGTTATACACCTCAATTCCCAACCACAGGTCACAGTCACTTTTTCCCAGCTTCTGCAGTAAATCGATGTGAGTAGTCGCCAAAAATGCGTAACATACAAAAAGTGAATTTATTAGCCTATCTGAACTAGAATCTAAACAGCCTAGAAACATAAATAATGTACAGATCTATAAAATAAAATAGGTAAATTTCCCTTGTTGTGAACTATGTTGTATATGGATAGTAAGTGGTAATTTTCAACAGCCTTGACTTGATTTTGGAACTTTGTGTAACTACTGGTCCTACATATAAGCACCAAATTTTAAACTCATCACTTTAGAGCTTTATCCGTTATATATTCCTGGTTCAACAAACACGGTAAGTTGAGGTAAACAACTAGTGACTTAAAACATGTGTAGATATAGATTCAGTCAGTCAGTCAGTCAGCTACAACATAGGACCAGACACATATATGCACCGGTCCAAGTTGCCATACCTCATTAACATAACAAGATGGATACCGGATTCATAAAAGTAGTTAATTCAGAGGTGGCAATATATAAAAGAACGATTGCAATAAGGATATAGTACTCGAAGAAAGAATTAGTTCGTAGAAAGAAAGATATGAAGCGATTTTAATCTCTTAGTTTAAGGGAAGACAGAGAGTGTATACATCGATGCCATTGTGATCGATTCTGGGCCATGTCATCAAGAGTCTCCAACCATTGGTTACGATAGTCACGCGGACCCCAACCAAGTAGTCTGCATCTACTAACATGGCTCAGACTACAAGTTAGTGACTTCAAGCACTGATGCCACATTTTGGTTTGGCCGCTCCTAACTTTCTTCCAACAATCCCGAACACCGGTTAGCATTGCACGTCGTGGTAATCGGTGTTCAGGCATACGTAACACGTGGCCAACCATCTAGGTTGGTGAAGATTTACAACCTCATCAACTGATTTACCATTATTTCCTAATACCCTGCGTCTAACCTCATTATTACTTACCCGATGATCCCAGCAGACGCCAGCAATATTTCTGAGGCATCTGTGGTCAAATACTAGTAGCTTACGAGTGTCTTCTACTCTTAATGGCCATGTTTCGCAGCCGTAAATTAAAACAGAACGGACTGCCGCGCAGTATACTCGTCCCTTAATTGATAGAGGATATCTCATCTTTGCCATAGGTGACGTAAGTTGGTAAATGCCAAACGAGCTTTTCGAATCCGTGCTGAGATTTCGTCAGACATCAACCCATTAGTGCTGATCAGACTTCCACGATAAGTGAAGTTGTCAACGCGTTCGACTACTTCACTCCCTATCCTTAGTTCAGGTGTTGACCCAGACCAGTCCTGAAGCAACAACTTGCATGTAGAGGGAGAGAAGCGCATTCCAAACATTCTGGCATTGTTGTTTAGTGCTACCAAAAGACTCTGTATTTTATCAGCGTCTTCACCAAACAGGACTATATCATCTGCGCATTCTAGGTCGATAAGTGGACCTCCTGTAAGGAGATCAATACCCGAGAATTCAGTAGACGAGAATATTATTTCCATCAATAGGTCTATGATGAAGTTAAACAAAAATGGAGAAAGTGGACAGCCTTGACGGACACCACTTGAGGTTGCAAAATCAGGTGACAGTTCGCCGTAAGCTCTGACTCCACTAGTAGTGTTCGAGTAAAGAGCCTTTACAAGGTTTATGTACTTCTGTGGTATGCCTTTCAATGACAGACACTGCCACAGAATCTCGCGGTCTACCGAGTCAAATGCTGCATTTAAGTCAAGAAGGACCACCATTGTCGGACGCCGTTAAGTATACCCATGTTCTAGAACCTGACGAATGGTGAATATGTGGTTGATGCAGCCACGACCAGGTCTGAAGCCAGCTTGATTCTCTCGTGTTTGCAGTTCGCGAGTCGTAGTTAGGCGTCTGATAATTATCGAGGCTAGTATTTTAGATACTATATTAATTAAACTAATCCCTCTATGGTTGTCACAGGATGATTTTAATCCCCTCTTATATATTGGGACGATAAGTGATTGTCCCATTCACTGTCTGGGAATGGGGGGTAGTTGTAGAGTAGCTGAAGGCCAGCTGAACTGTTCTCTGAAATGTTCCGCCCATCGTTCTAAACGTCTGGACTGGGAGCAGATGAAGTAGTCTGACTTACACTTGACTTATTGATTCCAGTTTCTTTTCTTAGTCTGTAGAGCTGTCTTGTGTTCCCTATAGCCGCCGCCATTTCCATCTCTTTTGCTTTCGTTGCCCACCACTGGTCGCGATCGTTCCTTAGACTTTTGGTTAACCTAGATCTGATTTGTTTTCGTTCTTCATCATGTTCAGAGCCTGATGGGATGAGTTCACGAGGATCCATCAGTGCAATAGACAATGAGGAAATCCATTGGTTCTTTGTAACCCTAAGGTTTAAATCACTAACAGATGTCAATGCTGTTTCCACAGCTGTTTGTATAGCTTTCCAAGCAACATCTGGGTCAACCTCGTGTTTAGAACTACCTAATTGTGACTTGTTGTTCCTGGAACCTACTTTTGGTTTTCTCGTTACTCAATCCAGTTCTAATTAGTCTTTTAAGTGTGAATTTTTCGCGTCCAGTGAGGCGCAAGCAGATGCGTGCCCGTATTAGGGCATGTTCGGAGTCCAAGCAGGTAAACCAGAATGAGCGACAATCTTCTACCGACCCTCTCCAACGATGACTGATGGCAATATGGTCTATTTGAGTCCATCGTTGGTTTGGTGTAGGGGGTCGCCATGTTAGACGATGTCTCTCCTTATGCTTAAAATTTGTGTTTGCTAAAAATAAACGGTTGTCTGAGCACAGTTGCAGCAGACGATCACCATTATGTGTTCGGTGTGCCAGAATACTAAAATACCCACCTAAATGCCTTTCCGTTTGGTTTAAACTACCTATCTGGGCATTAAAGTCACCTGCTACGAGTACTATGTCTGAACGTTTAGCTTTCTGAAGAAGTTCAGATAGCTTTCTGAAAAATTCATCTTTCACTCCATCTGAGCTGCAGTCGGTGGGAGCGTAGGCAGGAATGTCGAAAATACAACGACGTGTGTTCCTATCCTTCCGAGTTCTTACGGAGCCGTTTAGCCGAACAGCACATAAACGACTGTTAACGGGGATCCACTCTAACAGTGCTTGTTCCGCCCTCATGCTTAGTACTATGCCTACTCCTGCCAGTCCACGAGAGCTGGCCGTCAGGTCACCAGATACACGGGGGGTGTATCTCGTTGGCTCTCCGTTTCGCTGAGATGAGGTCAAGTGAATGACCACACTGGGATCCTGTATGCGTGTTTCAGAGACACAACATACATCAATGGTACGAGATTCTAGGGTTTTAGCCAAGGAAGCCTGTTGACCGATTTGACATAGGGTGCGTACGTTGAAGGCTCCAATGTGTAGTTTGGAGCGAGGTTTCAGTAGACCTGGAACAGTGTTTTGAGCACTAGAATCGTTGGCTATGGTGACACTTGAGGGGGAAGCCGAAAAAGGAAGTTAAGAGGTGAAAGTCGATGTAGGAGGAATAATAGGAAGTGAAGACGGAGGTTGATTATGAATACAGTGGTCTTGAGTGCTGTTAGAGGTATGAGGGCGGTTATCACTTCCCGGTTGCCCACACCGTGGAAGGGTTGTTCTGGAGGTACCTGAAAAGGAAATTGGATTAGAGGTGGTCTTAGTGACCTGGGAGCGTGACCGCAGTACCCAAGAGACGACTGTTTGAGGTCGGTCACACACGACCTTTTTATGGGTAATTTTTTTGTTAGCCCCGTACTTGTTGATACCTTACCACCGGAGACGGATATCCGTGGGATAAGGCGAGGTGTGCATTTTTAGGGTCGACCTTTTCTAACCCCACTCCTCCTTGTGGAAAGGCAGCATCGCTGTCACGCTGGTTGTTTGAAGGAAACACCTTACTGTTGTTAAACGTATGTACAGTCAGCAGTACGACTTCGCCTTCGGACCTTAGGTTTGTTGCTTTTAGTCTTACCGCCCTTCAACCAACCTGTCTGACATGGTAGGACCTTGAGGAACGGTTGTTCCAGCCAGTATAGCTCGGTTGCTTCATCACGATATGCAAGCCCGACCACCACGTCGAGGTAGCAACAGCGGTCGGGGTAGATATAAAATAGGACTATGAGATACACCACATATCAAAAAAGAAATTTTATTTCTCATTTATACCTACCTATTATCAAGTGGTATCTGTAGTTGTGGAATATTGACATTATATGTTGCATAAGTCAACAGATTTCGGCAAGCAATCAACTGTAAGACTAGAATTATTTGGATATGTTAGAGTTTCCAACACATAATGTAGGGTAATTCTTGGATACCAACAAGAGATTTGATATTAATATGGAGAATCTGTGCTCACTAGTGACTAGCTTTGAGATGAAACTTCTGGAGTCCTAGTGAGATGCCGTGACCGATGGAGTTCAACCCGTGTCCACCGTATCCACATCAGGCGATCGATGAAGGACTGCACAAAACCATGGATTGATTGGAGTCAGGCACTTACACCATTGGATGCCGGTTCAACGGTCTTGAGCTCAAGAGTCCACACGCGAGACCAGACGTCCCAATTTCGAGTCTCTTGCACAGGATCATGGATCCGTGTTGATGAGTGCCATACTAGGACTAAACGGCCTCCCATTACTTCCAGGTTTTCAAGGGTGGTATAACTTAGATTGATTCGTGATTTAATATCAATTTCTTTAATTAGAAAGTTACCGGATTAAAAAAGGAATCACTGAGGAACAAAGGGTAGAGATAAATACTTTAAACAGCATCTCTGTAGTGGAATAGAACGAAAATGAATATTTATATATTCCACGGACACCACTGTACACTATCAGGTCAAATGATAACTATCTACAACAACCATTTAAAGTTGGAATTTCAGTGTTAAATGAGACAAACTTGCTGTGCTTCTTTTAGCAGTAAACATAGGCACAGCAAATACCAGTTATCAAAGGCCAGTGGTACTTACAGAACCATAAATAAGAACCTAATGTATTACTCTAAACAAATGTCGTTCATTCTGTAAACAGCGCACAGCTTGGTACTTACGACATCTCGAGAGAATTCAAAAATGAACAAACACAAGAAGTAGGAACTGTCTATCCTAAATTTTGACTTTCTATTTTCGTTGAACAAAAATCACTTAGACTGATATTCAGTGAACGATGACAGATGAAAGAGTGATGAAGAAATTCTTAGAAACTATAATTTACCACCCATAAGTGACAAGCTAGAAACGGGGAAGTTCATACTTCAGTAAGATGAAAGATATAATAGTAATTCAAATAAGTACAAAATCAATATATTTCAATCAGCTAGCTTCCAAAGCGATTTTTTGTTTCTTGCCACGAGTTTTTGACTTATCAACTGCTTTTCTTTTACTTGTCTCCTTCTCGAGTTCAGTAAATGACAGGTCCATTGTTTCCTCTTCTGACAAATCTGTTTCAGAATCAATATCCATTAGTTCACGTTTTCTTTTGGCTATAAAATAGGATTTTAAATCATTATTGATTAAACTCCCAAATCTACCTCCTGGGGCTTCAATAAGATGCATTTGTGTGTTAACAAGTTTAATATCTTCTTCTCTACGCAACTGTACTCCTTTCGAAAGTCGTTTTTTGATAAATGCGGATTCTCGTTTATGCTTGATCTGATCAATTTTTGGAACAGCATCAACTGGAAAAGATTTTATCAAATTAGCTTATGATATGTACCGATTTTTTGAACTGCTGCTCGTTCATACTTCAGTAATGAATTTCGCTTCCTCTCAAATGTTTGGGAAAGGTCATCAGTTAGTTCTTTCCCGCGAACTCTTCTGGAAACTTTAGTCCATCTTACTTTGCGAGGATTTTTATGCTTTTTAAACGCTTTATGACACTTTCCTCTACAGAAACGGAATTCCTAGATGAATGATGAGCAAGTAATACGAAAGTTAAATGCTAATGTATGGAAACCAAAATAACTCCGAAAACCTGATTTATACTAAAGGGGTTAAGAGGTCATTCATATGAAATAGATTTGGAATTCGGGTCCTTTAGAGAAATTTATGTATATATAACAGAAAAGTATTTGTTATGACGAGAGACCTCAAATTTATTTGTTAAACTACTTGGAAGGATAATTTGGTTAATCACTATAAATTAAGGTGTCTCATCATTGCTTTGTCTCTGTCCACAATATAATTGTAAAATATTATTTTAATGTGACTGAGAAACATTATATCTTCGTTTCTAATTAGTTTATATTATGATCTGTCTCAAATTTTTTTGTTGGAAACTTATTCCACATCTCATCAATCACTAGGTATTATTAAACTTGTATTTACGATAAAAACAAACCTTCATTTGTCATTTCTCTTAGATAAGACAAAGACTTCAGAACATGTACAACAGTGTATAAATATGTCTTACAATAACCTATCGAGGCTCAAGGTAATGAATATAGAGAATCTGTATTTACTCATAAGCGTCCAAGCAAAAAGACGAGTGGAAAAGGGTACGATCAAAAAAGGCGTACACCAACAAGGGTGAGCAATAAAATGTAGAACAAAATTTTTACGGGTGTGAAATTGGCTCGAGTTATCATTTCACTGCCTCTATGACCACTTAAAAATGTAGACTCAACGAACAGTCTACTTTCAGCAAGCACGGTAATTTTTTAATCCAGTTGTGTGATACTCTTATTAACCCATTCATACATCTATTTGGAAGTGAGGTCTAGATAAAGGTAACTTTTCGGTGTTGGATATCATTTCAACGAATTCTCAACATGCCTATTCTAAGGAATCAGTCTATATCTATCAGTAAGTACGAATTATTTGATCATACAGACTGTTTGAATTATGTTAACTATTTCTAATATATTTTCATGCTAACATTCATAATTACGAAAGCTATTAAACGTTAATAACAGCATTTTATTAGGAATGGAATAATAGTGACATCAATTTGGAAATAATCGTAGAATATCTGGAAAATCGTCTAAAATACGCATATACTCGATGGATCATTCTATATTAAAATGGAAAATTCGAACTACCAAATACACGATTGTCCCGACGTTTAACAATACAAAAATTGCATTGTTATGTTTTATCCTTGAAAAATCGTATTTTTTGTCTGTAATACACTCATATTAAAAGTACTAAGATCAACATTTGTTCTAAATGTTATATATTTGAACACATAAATATTGGTACAAAGGCGCAACAAAAGCTACTTGATTCATGTGTGGGCTGTAATACTTCCCGGGTTCCCATACCAAAGCAGGTGGTTTTCTTAGAGGGCTACACCCAGAGCCTTCGGTCTAAAGGTCTGATCCACAAGACAGTGGAGCAACGTAAGCAGATGTAGTCTCATGGTAGCCGGTGACGAATAATTGGTTCATATGCCACTTGTTCCCCTAAAAATGATGCATCTTACAAACTTTTGGTCAAACGAGATCATTTCGGTGTGCGAAATAAGTGTAAACTAAAAACCATTATAATAATGAACTTTCCTACTCTGGAGTTAATTATGAATTATGAAACAAGAGCTATTCGAAGAAACTAACTTAGATAAAAGACCGAATCTGGTTAAATAGTTGTGTTTACCCATTCCTGCGCTAGCATTTGTCTTCGTGGAACATACAGAATGTTATCCAAAAGAATTTTAAAACATATACCAAAGAAATCGAAAATTAATGACTCTAAATCCACCAGCAGGGCCATAACTTGGTTTATTTCAAAAATGACAGGAATGGTTGGTGAATTTCACGTTGGATGAGTCTTTAATGCTGACAACATACTTTGTTTTATAATGGGAAAGGCCACATAATTCATTTGTCATTAGACGTACTCATAAAGGCATTGTCTTTTGTGCTTTTCAGTAAAACTAAACTTTTATTCTATAGATTATCAACGTCCGTGATAACAAGTCGTTCTATATTATTTAGATAAGCAGGTAGAACCGATTAAACAAACAGGGTGAAGTTCCTATAAATTAAGCAAAATGCGGTTATCGAGTATTCATACAAGTTGAACTGCGATTGATTACAGTTGAGATAATATGTAGATTTATGTTTGACAAGCAAAAAAAATTTAGTTTATTTGAATCGGTATAAATCACAGGTCTAGATAGATCTAAAAATTGAGTTCAGATTAATAATCCTTTTGAGGGTCTTTGTCTAACTACAAGGAAGACAATCGTTGGTTACATTTTGGTTTAACTGCAACTCTCAACAGTTGCTATTATGTTTATATGGACATAAATAAGTACTTTATTAAATTGTTCGACTTATAGGTAAGTACGAACTTAATGGTAACCCTAATATAATAGTAAAATTCCTCTGTTTGTACCTTACAATAAATCACCTTGAATTCTCATTAACACCAATTTACAAATATCATTGATATAATTTGAGACATGCACAACTTATTGAACGTATATCATTTTCCACCTCACTTGATTGTGATCAAGACTTTAAGTGCTTAACTTATTTCACTAGCAACAGATGAACAAATGATAAATTAGCGGTGACCCGATAATCAAAAATTATAACTGCTGTTTCGTGACTTGGTGCAAGCTACTTCTCCAGAGCGATCAGGTTGCTGAATCCCACTGAATTCGACACAGAAGCTAACGCTTCTAACTGAAGAGCCTGCAAAGCGGATTATTTATCTCCCATATAACGTTGCTAAAGGTTTGCTGATAGCTCGTTTTAGCCATATACATTCATTGAGATGTAACAAGCAGCTTGATCGCAAAAATTGATTCACAAAGACGAAAAAATTTGAATCTTACTTTACAGTCATTTCTGACAAATAGAATCCCGTGACCAGGGTATATTGGACTCGAACAAAACCAACACCTGTATATTCTCATGCCTGTGCAGTAACGCACACCTTAAAGCTGCCGCTATTCAATAGGCACTGTTCAAATGGTTCAAATGGTTGTTGACGGAATAGAAGAAGCTTTCGCTTAACAGGCTTCCGTGTCTAGTAGCAGGGGATCACCAAATCCTCCAGGCAGGAACCTAGGTATGTTAACAATAAAACGGGAAAAGAAATTGGTAAATCATAGTATGATGCTGTCCTTGGTCCTTAAGAGTAGGTCAAGTTGCCTCTTGAAGGACTCCTGAGAAGTCGCTTGGACTAGCTCGGCCGGCAGCGAATTCCAGCTTTTGACAACTCTTAAGGAGTAGAAGTTGTGTCTACAGTCCGTTCTGCTATGTTGTGTCTCCAGGTTTTGGGTGTTACCTCTTAGGTTAGTGTTGGAACTGAACTTAAATAGGTGTTTAAGAGGATGTCCAGAAGTGTTAAGGATACTGTAAGCCATTAAAAGGTCACCTCTAAGACGCCTATACTCTAATCGGTTAAGGTTAAGTGATTGTAAGCGCCCTTCATCAGGTTTAAATTTGAGTCCTCGAACTGATTTCGTGGCTCGCCGTTGGATACGTTCCAGGGTGTTCTTATCCTTTTGGAGTGAGAGAGGAAATACTATGTTTCCGTACTCTAAATGGGGACGGATAAAACTATTGAAGATTGTATGGAAAGCTCTTCCGTCAAACTGGCCAAAAATGCACTTCAATGTTACCAATGCAAGGTTTGCTCGAAAGGTATTTTTGTCACAGTTAGCCTAAGACTTTAAATCGTAGGGCACCAGGACTCTTAAATCTTTTTCGACTTGAGATACGACTAGAGAAGAGTTTCCTAAGTTGTAAATGTAGTCTGCGACGTGTCGCATATGGACTACTTTACACTTTGAAGTGTTGAAAGTAAGTCCGTTATCGTCTGTCCAACTTTGAAGCCGAGTCACATCCTCCTGAATTGCCTGTATATCGTCTTGGTTGCGTATCTCTTTCCCCAAAATTTCACGTCATCAGCAAAAAGCGATAAGTCTGACGTTGCCTGTTGAGGAAGATCATTTATGTAGATCAAGAAGAGAAGAGGTCCTAGTGTTGAACCCTAGGGGACCCCGCTAGGACATTCCATAGTCTGAGATAAAGTGAAATTGACCCTGACCTTCAAATGTCGATTTTTCAGGTATGAAGTGAGCCAATCGACTAGAGGTGGTCTGATGTGCAATCGTTTGAGCTTATTGATAAGACATGTATGGTTAACCTTATCAAAAGCTTTTGAGAAATCTAGGTAGATGATATCAACCTTCCCCTTGTGATCAAGGATGCTTGTCCATCTGTCCACCGCAGTCAGCAGGTTGGTAATACAAGAGTAACCCTTCCTGAAACCATGCTGTCGGGGTGAGAAAAAATTTAAGGACAGTAAATAGTCATTTATACCATCGCATATCAGGGACTCCATGATTTTTGAGGATATGGAGAGAAGAGCCACCGGTCGGTAACTTGAAGGTTCGCTGCGTCGACCTCCTTTTAAAATTGGTGTGATCTGAGCCAGCCTCCAATTTTCCGGTAGTTTTCCTCGACTTAGCGAGTGTAAGAACATCACGTTAAGCGGCGTTGCCAAGATTGAGGCTGCCTCCCTCAATATGGCGGAATGGACCATGTCCGGGCCAGGAGAAGTGTCTAATCTTAAGTGCTGCAGTTTCCGGAACACCAAGTCAACGCTTAGGTTCACTTCGGAAAGTCCTTTGGAATTGCAAACGAAACTGTCATCAGTAAAGTTAATGTCGGCCGGTTGAAATGTCTGGGAGTAATGTTCAGCCAAAAGGTTAGCGGCGTCACCATCGTTGTTGATCGGGCCGTTAAGACCTACAGTGTGCAGTAAGAAGTTTCAATGACCGTCCACATCGAGTTGGGGGTGAACATCCCAAACCACCCGTTGTAGATAGTCGTGTAGAGCTAGCACATTCAACCGTTTAAAATTCCAACGCAAGTTATTGGTGGGGCATCTTAGCTTAGTTTTACTGACAAAACTGAAGGATATGACCATATGATCGCTTTTTCCCAGGGAAGCCAAGATTGAGAGGTTGTCAACTAGAAATTCTTCGTTTGTGAATACACAGTCTAAGCGCGATGGCGTCTGACTGTTTCTCCAACGAGTTGCCGACCTCACATTTTCGTACAATCCCAAGTCATCGATGAGGTTGAAGAACCGAGCTTCAATTGAGTTGTCTCCTCCGGTATACGTGTGTTCCGCGAAGTCGAATCTAGGGAGATTAAAGTCCCCTAGAATTAGGATGTGTGTGAAACCGAGACGAGTAGAGCGGGATAGTCCTTCCAGCATACGACTATCGTACTCGGTGTCGGCAGTTGGCTTCCTGTAAATGACTCCGACTAGACACCTTGAAGTACTTGACAATCTTACAGATCACCATATGGATTCCTCAAGATTGTTAAATTCGAGGTTATGAACTTGGTGCACCTCCAAGCAAGAACGTATGTAAACAGCTACTCCGCCCCCAATTCCTGATTTTCTGCCGTTGCGGAACAAAGACACCCCAGGTGATGCTAACTCATGGTCCGAGAACTGAGAAGATATCCAGGTTTCAGTTATTCCTATCAGATGGGCCTTATTAGCGTTGCTAAGTTCACATAATTCATCCAATTTGTTTGGTAGACTCGCGACGTTCATATATAAGCAGTTTATGCTTTCAATTTGGAACGCGTGAGCTTCTTCCTGTTTGTCTGTATGAGCCCTGTTGGCACGAAGTGCCTCCAGAGTTGCAGCCGCCATATGTGAAGATGGGAAGGTTATCTTCATTATACGGGGTCTAGAATCACCATCCTTGTTGGCTAGTCTCGTCACATGCTGAGTCAGTATGTTTTTGGGCCTCAAGGACTGTTTGATGTATTTCCATTCCCTGATGTCAGTCTTTGATTGAGTAGGGTCCGTATTTTCCGGCATACCTTGCACGATTATATTCCTCCCGCGGAAAAACTGATTGCGAGTTTCTTTTGGGATGTTCCGGATGAGATTGAGCTCAGAATACGGTATGTCAAGCAGTATTCTTACATTCCCATCTGACTTCAGTAAATGACTCGCTAGTAAGACATCCTCTACGTCGGTAGCATACTTAAGTGTTACACGAATTAGCCTCGGGTGATTTTGATGCTTAGATTCCTTTCCCCGAGTGAGCCGTGTGACTGTCAAAGGCTCTATTCTTGGAGGTCCAAGTTTCTTGTTCAATTCTCCCCAGAGCATCCTATCATTTTTGTCCTGCAAACTGAGAAGAACGTCAGGGTTGTCTTTGAAGTTCAGGATTATGAGAGTGTCATCACGAACCGTTATTGTCGTCCCAGGTTTCTGGTGCGTTCAGGTTTAGCACCTTGTTGTTTGGGGGTCGAAGCACGTTTATGAATCCTTGGCTCTTTGATGACCTGACGGACGATCTTGGGGGTAGACTGTGCGACCAGATCACCAGTTGACCTCCGTTCAAAAGCTGGGATGTTCAACTTAGACTGTTACGCCTGTCTCTTTTTAGCTCTTTTGACATGGGTCCAGTCACCTACAGAGTTTTTGGGAACCACTGTCGCGTTCAAAGACCTTGAGCTGTGAGACTTAAGTTTGCTGATGGGGTCGAGTACTGTTGTCGTAATCATGGTGCTGAGTTTCAGCGTGTCATCATTAATGCTGTTACATGCTCCGTCGTTGGTAGATCTGTCGACTTCCCTGTTCTTGTTTTTAATGCGCTTTCTTGTTTTACTACCCATTGTTTGACTGTCTTTCCCCAAGTTTGCCGAGAACTTGCTCTGCAGACCTGTCAGTAGGACAATGATATTACTCAGCAAGACTGCAGTTGATCCAACTGTCTTTTGAAAGAGTCAACGGATGGAGCCTCAACCACGTGCTGAGGTAATGAGTTCCACTCGTTAATGATTCGATGGGAAAGTCGATAGTCATCTGACAAGTAATTTGTTCTTGGCTTGTGAACCTTTTAGGAGTGTCCTCGTAAATTCCCTGTTTTGGAAGACAAGAAAAATGAGGGCATATCAGGTGCAAATTTATTACTAAGCAATTTGAAAACTGTAATCAAGTCGCCTCTAGTTCTACGACATGACAACGGTAATAGGTTTAGCTTGACCAGTCGAGAATCATGCGGAAGCTTCGCAATTCTGGGAATCAGCTTAGTTGTTGTTCTCTGAGCCTTTTCCAAAAGCTCACTGTCTTTTTTAAGCAGGGGCTAGCCGCTTGTATGCAGTACTCAAGTTTAGGATGTACGAACACTGTATACAAAGTCAAAAACCTTCTGGCGCCGACATGTCTAAAGGTCCTATGTATTGACCATAAGGTTCTAAAACCTGTGGCGGCTATCGCACGTATTTATTTATTCGAATACATAGATATTGGTACAAGAGGGCACCAAATATATATGCGCCACACAAAACAATGGTAATTTGATGAGGAGAAGGAAAAAAGGTGAGGAGCGTAAAAAAACAATAACGAACAGAATAAGGTAAGGTAGCGTAATAATAATAATGGGGGAAACGAAAAGGTACAATCAGAAGAGATCGTTCAGTTAAGGAAGAAGCAACCACTTTTTATGAAGAAAGTAAAAGAGTACAGCAGGATCGCCACTGACTTCTATTCTGAGACATATCTGATAACGTCTCTAGCCACTGTGTTGCACCATCTCTCGGACCCCAGCCAGGGAGTCGTGAAGGGCCAACACAGGCCAGCTGTTTGCAGATTTCTTTCATACCACGATACCATGTCATACATACATAGCACGGCAGTGTGCAGTAGTCTTTAAGTCTTGGCTAACGATGACTCCTAAGTCATTATGTGTCTGGATGACAAGTAGCTCATTGTTATTCATCGTGTATCCATCCGTACCTTGATGTCCGATATGCATCACAACACACTTGGAAGTATTTATCGGCAACTACCAGGTTTGAGACCATTCAGATAATTTCTTCAGGTCATTTTGAAGTTCCATCACCCTTACTTCGTATCGCTCTCCATATCTTGACATCGTCAGCATATAGCAAGACCGATGATGATAGGAGACGAGGAAGGTCATTTACATACAAGAGGAATAGCACTGGCCCCAAAACTGTATCCT